TTGCAACTGAGAGGCCGGCAAGTGAGGCGGTGAACGTTGGAGTCTGCAGCAAGCAAGCCTCCCTGCTCGCTTCAGTGCCTGGCTGCTGGCTGCCATCTTGGCTGACAGTTAATTTGCATATACTCACTGATTAGCCAATGAAAAGGGTAGCGGTCGTACGCCAATTACCATGTTTCTCTTTTATTAGTGTAGATGTGCCAGGTTCATTCTGTGAGTTATAATTGCCACTGATATAAGCAGAGTAGAAAATTTAATTTAGGTGTTTTAGCCCACAGATAAATGGTAATCTTCACATTACACTTAGAGTATCTTCATACCCCTAATATAACCCTTCACTTTGTGTTTTTGTAAATATTCTAGATTCCAATTGCATTTCTTACTCTTGTTTATTTGAAAACAGTTACCAGCAAGATTATCATTAAAGAGATATAAAGCTTTGATTGTAAATATTTAAAGTGTTTTCTTTCATTTGCTTGTATTGATGCTACTGTAACTATTTGAATAATGATTAAGTGTAGCATTTTTATTAAATTGAATTTTTTAGGCAGATATCCACTAAGGAAGTGACTACTTAGGGAGTGTTATATCTTTGGTATGGGGATCATGTTTTGAGAAGCATATTACACATTTTTTATGTAGAATAAATTATAGATTTCTCAAAGATAGTATGTTTTTGGCAGTTGAGGTTAAATATAATATATAATGATTCTTTATGAGAAATTGCCAACTGGGGACTTTCAATCTCCTGGTAGGTGAAATTTTTATGTTTATCAAAAAAATCATAGGTTAAAAAAGATTGAGAGATATCGTTTGAAAGTAGACCCAAGGACTAATGATCAGGATATATAGTTTACATAGGTTCTGTAAATCTGTGAAGTATTTAAATCAAGTTATATCACATTAGATTTGTGATTTATAAAACAGTTTTAGCTGCATATCCTGATGCTATACTCAATTTAAATAAAATGATTATTTTTATCTAATATGATACTAATGATTTCTTTTTATTTCTAATTTTTAAAATAAAATAAAGGCTGTATACGGTAACAGTTTAATTGAAGTTCTTTTTATGCTTCAATAGTAACTTTAAAATATCAGTGCAGATACTTTAAAAATGTTTTTGTTACTATGATTCACCTTGATAATTTGAAGTAAACAATAAAGATAATTCAAGAAATTCTAAGTTTTAAGACCATTTGATTTTTTTTATAGAACAGTCCAACACTTATAATAGGGGGATGTTTTAATACTTTTTGAGGATTTATTGTTGGACAATTTAATTTCAGTTTATAATCATAATCAATAATTGGCATGTTTTGTTTTTTGTGTTCAAAGCTTATGAGCTTTGGGCATGAAGGGAGTCAGTAATATTCAGGAACCAAAGTTATTTTTATTTTATTTTTTATTGTTTAAAGTATTACATATGTCTTCTTTTTCCCCATTGACCCCCCCCCCCTTCCCCAGGACAAGCCCCCACTGCTCCAGTGTCCATGTCCATTGATTATGTTAATATGCATGCATACAAGTCCTTTGGTTGATCCTCTTACCCAAAGTTATTATTTTAGATCAATGTTTCTGTCTTGAACTTAATACCCATTTTAATGCCAAGATCTTCCAGAAGGTACACATATATAACTAAAAATCACAAGTATATCTGTTATACTAGTATATCAGTCAAGGTGTTTAGTTAGGTATTTATTATACACTAGTGTCCTGGTGCATGGATTCGTGCACATTGAAAGGAAATTAATTAGAAGAAATATTTTAATATCGCTATTTGTGTCTTGCTAATGAAAAGAAAATAGGATTCTACAGAGTCTCCTATCTACCTACTCCAGGACTTCTGTGAGGATCAAATGAGATGCACGGGAAAATGCTTCACAAACATTTTTGTTAAACTATAAAATATTTGCACCTGGCTATAAAGCAAGTCGGATTCCTGGGCTGAAGAAACTCCAAGGATGCTAGTTGCTAGGGAGAGGAAGCCAGGCATTGGCTACGTGATGTCATTACCCAGTGCCCACAGCGACCGTTTCTGGGTTGGGCTGGGCTGTGGGCCGCATTTTGTGCCATGGGGTCTTGGCAGTGTTGGTTTCGATTTGGTGGGGTGTCACTCTGGGGTGGTGGCAAGGCCTGTGTCCCACTTGGGGGAAGCTGAGTGTTGTTTTGTCAGCACCGGGTCCGTGGTGCCATTTATTTTTAAATGGCCAGTGCGCGTCATAGCAGCTCCTGTGTTGAGCGTCTGTCCCCTGGTGGTCAGTGCACATCATAGCTACTGGTTGGACAGACACACACACACACACACACACACACACACACACACACATACTAGAGGCCCGGTGCACAGATTTATGCACTGATAGGGTCCCTCGGCCTGACCTGTGCCCACTTGCAATCCAGGACCCCTAAGTGGATGTCAGAAGCCTGTTTCAGCCAGATCTCCGTAGGCCAGGCGGAGGGACCCCACCAGTGCACGAATCTGTGCAGCGGGCTGGTTTTGGCTGGATCCCCGCAGGCCAGATCCAGGGACCCCACAGGTGCACGAATCTGGTGGTCATTGCATGTCATAGCTACCAGTGGCTTTTATATATATAGATTAGTAATTGTGTAATGCCTCTCGTACTTCTATTGTCTCATGGTGAGTTCACAAGATAAAGGAAATTGAATAAAATATTTTAATCTTGATATTTTGCATAAAATACAACAGGAATTTAAGATCAAGTACACAAAAATAGGAACTTAAAATTGTCCTTAATTTTGTCTTTGATTTATAAATCTGCTCTCTGGTGTAACTCCACTGTAATAAAGAATTACCAGCTTTATATACTAAGGAAGTTCTGTGTACAGTAAGTCCTCGGGTTACGTTGGAGATCTGTTCCTACAGTGTGACATAACGTGATTTTCGCCGTAAGTCGGAACCCACCTACATAAGCACTTACATCACTCACATGGAGCACATACACAGCAGTAATGAAGTGAAACAGAAAAAAAAAATTTAAAAGAAGATAACAATTCCTAACCTTTACTTGTGGTAAATAAATAATAAAAAACATAAAACACATATGTACATACATTGAAATGACAGAACTTTTTATTTTATTTTATAAATAAATGGGAGATGGCGATGTAACCACGAAACGACGTATGTCGAGTCCGATGTAAACCGAGGACTGTCTGTATTTTCACAACTAAGTAAACTTCTGTCCTAGAGTTTCAAAATTTTGTCCAGATCATATATTGTTAAATTTTAGATCTTTAAGGAACTTTCAATGATCATTAGTCTAAACTTTTCCTTTTAGATTGAAAAACAAACATGAAAAAAACTATGCTCTTCAAAGTTAAATTTACTTGTCAATAACCTCAGAGGTAATGGCTGAAAGACTTAGAGGAATGCAATGTTAATTGTTCTTTCCCTTCTTCTAAATACTGTTTAAAATTATTTTTCCTATTAAGTTATAATGAAATTCCATGATTATTTCATTATTTTATTTCAGTCTTATGCACAGACTTCCAGGTAAATGGGTTGGTTTTTAGAAGAAAACTAAAAATAATTAGTTTGAGGAGTTTAAGGTGTTGTTGTTGTTTTTTTAAATAAACTAAGGAGTCAAGAATAATACTAACCATTTATTATAGCAAAAGTAGTCATAGTAGTTCACAGTTTTGTCTGACTTATCTCTAAATATTAAATATCTCAATGTAATATCAATGTTTATTGTTTTCCTTGGAATGTGTCAAATTAGAGTCCAAGTACCAGAGGATATGTTTGGGTGACTAACATTAAAAGTGTAAAAATATTTCATAAAAATTACTTTGTAGATTTGTTACCATGACCATATGAAAATTCCAATCTATTTCTAAGTATGCTTCTGTTTCTGTCAATCCAGGAGACTTTTATAGGCATAGTACAAGTGATGCCAGAGTTTTAGCCAGTCATCTAAACAGAGCATCTGGTAGTATGTTAGGTAGAATGTAGTTAAACTGAGAGCAGAAAAGTTAAAACGACAAAAGGTATTGAGGAGTTGAGTTCAAATGAGTCATTATGGAGTAGATCATTGTAAGACCAAAGTAAATAATCAGCTTATTGATGAAATAGGATATTAGAAAGTAGCCGTTAGTGTCATTCTGTTTTCCTATTCTAGGGCAAAACACTAAAATGGAATAAAGTTTTATTTTCTCACAGATGTCATGTGCTTTGTTATGTCCAGTCTTGGTTCCTTAGTATGTAGAGAAGTAATAAATTAATCATTTGTTTCCATTGTCCATCTTACTCTTATTTTTCTAAGTATTTGATTGCAGTAAGTGTTTGTATCTTGAACATACAGACAATCTGGTGGTAGAGAGATGGGCAGAAATGGAAGCACTTAATTAGGTGAGATGATTAGGCCTGAGCTTATAGAATAAATTGAAAACTAAGTAAATGAATTCTTCTGGAGAGACTGAGAAGTTAAAAACAATTGAGTTAGAACTGGAAAAACTGCTTCAGAGTACAATGTAAATGTTCAAGTTACAAAGGTATTTATAACTTCTAGTAACTCAACTATCATTAGTATTTTTATGGTTGCTATTTTTATTCTAATCTCATAATTTTCCCCTTAGGTGGTATCATGGAAAACTCGATAGAACTATGGCAGAAGAACGCCTCAGACAGGCAGGGAAGTCTGGCAGTTACCTTATAAGAGAGAGTGATCGGAGGCCAGGGTCCTTTGTACTTTCATTTCTTAGCCAGACAAATGTTGTCAACCATTTTAGGTAAGTTTTTATTTCTATTATGAGGCTGTATAATACAGCTGTTTTGCTATACTATTCGTAAAAATATCTATTTTAATAAAGGTGAATGACTCAATGACATTTAAATAATGGAAAAGGAAATTTGTTTTCATTTAAATGATTTATCAGCAATTTAGAATAGACGTTGAATGTTTATATTTTTGTTTAAAAGCAGTATCATTACTGGTGTTACTGTACTAATCCCAAATGTAATTATTACTTTTAAAGTATAAATTCTTTAAATTAAAAGGAAACTTTGAGTGGTAAAGTGGAAATACAGAATAACAAAAAATACAGGAAACAATTTTTAAGAGTCAAGGTGTGTGCCCCTTAATTCATTTTAGCTACACTGTTCTGAAACTCTTTACAAATATTTATTTCAATTAAATGGGCATGTAGGTATTTGCAAATATAGATAATCAAAGTCTGTATGTATAAATATATATACATATTTTATTTGCTTTTATGGGCATGATTGAAAAAATCATCTAGTGCCTATAATGTTAATGGATAAAATTTGTATACCTTGATTTTTAGATTTTAATATAAACTTTAAGAGGTCTGTTATATTCTGCACTGTATTAGTACCACATGTAGAATGGAAATTATTATACTGTGTAAATATTTCAAGAGATCTATAAGCTGCTTTTAGCCAGAGGTTTTTATTAAAATGCTGTTGAGTCATTCATAGGGAAAATGAGAAGACGTATGTGAGGATGGATTCATAAATATTTTAATGAATTATGTAATTGAGATTTATGTGTTAACATATATTTCTTATGAAATGCATGCATATATATTTGCAGAAGAAATAACCTCAAGTAATTAGCATATGGTGAAGATACTAATAAGTAGTGTTTTAATACAGGGATGCAGTTAAAAGAGTATGAAAATTACGGGTTTATAATTATGGAACTTGGTCTTCAAAATTATCTCTAAAGGTTTTTGTTACACTGTATTTTTTCCTATACAAATAGGATTATTGCTATGTGTGGAGATTACTATATTGGTGGAAGACGTTTTTCTTCACTGTCAGACCTAATAGGTTATTACAGTCATGTTTCCTGTTTGCTTAAAGGAGAAAAATTGCTTTATCCAGTTGCACCACCAGAGGCAAGTAAAACTTGAATAAAATATCTTTCAAAACTTTATTATTTCACTTTACTAATTGGAATAGCTCTCATTCAGTTTCTTGTGATGTTTATCCTATATAATAAAAGGCTAATATGCAAATTGTCCCCTTGGGAGTTCAACTGACCGGGAGTTCGACCGCTTGCTATGATGTGTGCTGACCACCGGGGGGGGTGGGCATGGAAAAAAGGAAGGCCTGGTAGCTGGCAGCCAGGGGAAGGAAGGCCCCGATTGGCCCCAATTGCCAGCCAGGCTTAGGGACCCTACCCATGCACAAATTTCGTGCATGGGCCTCTAGTTTAATATAATTTAAGAAGTATTTGTTGTATTAAACTTTCTCTCCCTAGTATCAGTGCAAAACTGACAACTTCTTTAAGAAAAGACAATATAATTTTTCTATACAGACAGTCCTTGGGTTACGTCGGACTCGACATACATCGTTTCATGATTACATCGCCATCTCCCATTTATTTATAAAAAAAAGAAAGTTCTGTCATTTCGACGTATGTACATATGTGCTTTATATTTTTTATTATTTGCCACAAATAAAAGGTCAGGAATTGTTATCTTTCCTTTGAATTTCTTTTACTGTTTCACTTCATTACTGCTGTGTATGTGCTCCATGTGAGTGACGTAGGTGCTTATGTAGGTGGGTATATATATGTGTGTGTGTGTGTGTGTGTGTACTCTAATAAAAGACGAACATGCAAATTGACCATACCTCTGCTATGCATTAAGCCACGCCCACCAGCCAATCAGAGTGACTATATGCAAATTAACCCAACCAAGATGGCGGCTGGCAGCCACGGAGCTGAAGCGAGTAGGAGGCTTGATTTCTCCAGTGATGGAGGAAGCCAAGCTTCCCGGCCGGCTCTGAGCTCCACTCAAAGCAACAAAGTTTCAATTATAGAAGATAAATAAACCCCAGATACCTGCTTTCAGCCGACCCTGGCCACAGAGCTGGAGCGAGCAGGAGCCGGCTCTGAGCTCCACTGAAGGCAACAAAGTTTCAATTATAGAAGGTAAATAAATCCCAGAATAAAAAAAAGAAAAAGAAAAAAAGGAGAGGCTGGGAGCTTCCATCGCCAGGGGGCTTGGCCAGCCTGAAAACGGCCCTCAACC